TCCTTACTGGTTTTAATAATGTTAATTATTTGGATAATGACCGGACGTTCGTCCTCACCGGGAGACGACGTTCGCCCTTGCAAGGCTGGAGTCTGCTTTCCGGAGCGTTTAGCCGAGCCTGACGTTCGTTCTCGTGAGGAAGAGGATGTTCATCCCCAAAAATTGAATAGTTTAATTGATTATAACTTCGGTTATGTTGAAGACGACGTCCGTCCTCGAGAGGAAGAGGACGTTCGTCCCCTCAAATTGAATAGTTTAATTGATTATAACTTTGGTTATGTTGAAGACGACATACGTCCTCGAGAGGAAGAAGAAATTCGTCCCCTAACATTGAATAGTTTAATTGATTATAAATTCGGATACGTTGAAGCCGACGTTCGTCCTCGAGAGGAAGAGGACGTTCATTCCAAAAATATAATTAATTTGTATTTGATTATAAAAAATGATTAATACGAATAATTAATTAAGGCTAAAGGGTCAAATAGGTCCCTGTACTCATATCAATAGCTCAATTGGGTACCCGAACTAAAAAAAGGTCCAATCCAATCCTCCAACTCTTCAAAATCGTTCAGTTTGACCCTTTAGCCGGTAAACTCCCGGTACTCAATTGAGCTATTGATATGAGTACAGGGACCTATTTGACCCTTTAGCCTTTGAAAAACGAAAAAATTGAACGATTTTGAAGAGTTGGAGGATTGGATTGGACCTTTTTTTAGTTCGGGTACCCAATTGAGCTATTGATATGAGTATAAGGACCTATTTGACCCTTTAGCCATTAATTAATTAAATTAATAGGTTCGAATAATAAAATAAAAGGAAAAAATGGGATAAAATATTGCAATAGAATAACTGACTAATTATATCATCTTAATTAAAAAGGCGAATATTTAGAAACCGGAATAGAAGAGGAGAAACAGGAGCATCAGATTAGAGGTAAGTTTCTCTGCCAATCCAAAATCGTTTCCTCATATTATATACTCCCTCCGTCCCTTATAAATTTGTCAATTTTCCTTTTTTGGTTATCCCAAAAACTTTGTCACTTTCCCTTTTAATCAATTAATTTGTGGCTTATGTTGTTTCTCTCTCCTCTGCACAAAAATCTACCACACAATTTTTACTTTATTATTCTACGTGCCGGTCAAACTTGGCAATCTTTTTAGAGACGGAGGGAGTATGTATTATGTGATACATGATTTTAGTGTGAGTTATGATGTATATGCATGTGATTTTGAGGTTGTTCGATCTGTGATATTTGAGAAGTGAAACTAAGTGCTTTTGTGTATTAAATATTTTCTTAAATATTTTCAAGGCAGTTTGAGAAAGTTTGAGAAATATTGAAGATATATTTTGGGATTTAATCCCTAGTATGACTTTGGAGTGATTTTTTATGTAAAATAATTTTGGAGTATTTATGAATGTGAGTTTTTGGTGGTCGTATCTATTAAATGGATACTTTAAAGAATAAATAATGTTTTTATAGTGGTTATTGACATCTCGAGAGAAACACGAGGTGTGGGTGGTTAGAGCTATATACCGCGGGTTTAGTTTAGGTTTAAGTTGATTATTGGTGGCGGGAGAAATCCCGGTAAAGTTAAGGGTGGGCACACTTAAGGGTGAAGTTCAGTTTCCAATTGGTGGTCGGTGGGAGCCGGAATTCCAGGATGAGTCGTACACAACAACGATTCATTGGGCTCGAGGAATCTTGAGTTTCGCCCATCTTAAAATAATCTAAGAGTGATATTGATTTTGGAATGGTGATATTTTTAGCTACAAAGTTATATTTTGAAAAGAGATACTTTTTTTAGATGTTAATTGTTTGGAGCTTATAAATATTACTTTTAACTATAAATGTATTTGAGATTATAAAGTTGACAAATGATGTTTTTGATTAGAAAAGTATTTTGGTGGAGTGAGTTCTTTTTATATAGTATTATATGAAAAACTATTTTTGACAAACCTGATTATTTTACGGGGTTGGGTAGTACTTACTTAGCTTTAAAGCTATTTTTTGTTTCATTTTCTTTGTTTTGTTTTCTGCACTTTATTTGTGCAGATAATGTTGAATATGAAGCTCATGATGTTTGACGAGCTTTGAGAGCACTTTAGAAGATTTTAGTGTAGTCTTCACTTAGATTAAATAATGTTATTAAATTTGGAATTTAAGTTTTTAATTTGGTTGAACTCATGGCGGATAGCCTTAGCATCCAGCCAAGTTGAGGGTTGGGTGTGGTGGTAACACACTCGTTTCTCATTATGATTATTATTTCCGCTGCAAAACTCTATCTATTTTGAATGAATAAACCAAGTTTGTTATCAATTGATTATTATTTCAAGTATTATTTTGGGCGGGAAAATGAGGGTGTTACAGCTGATTTCAGATTGTTCTTCTCCCCCATCCGCTCTGTATCGAAGCCCCGATCCAAAATCCAAATTCCAAATGCCCTGTTTGTCCGAATCAGTTCTACATCTTTCATAACCGTAGTTATTATCATTTCCATTAATTCTAAAAAGTACCCCGTTTTTCTTTTTCACATCGGGTCCATTGACAACCGATGTAGACTATTTTATAAAATTATAAAATATACCCCGTGAACATATTTAACATCGGTTAAAATTATAACTGATGTCAATATATTTATAATAATTGTAAAAAAAGACCCGCGTCACTATTTCACATGGGTAAGGTATAACACATGTAGAAACATGATGTTAAAAGGTCTTTTTGTACTAGTAATTATCTAAACCAAAATCAGAGATTGTGGCTGCATCCAATCGGTATCTCGAACCAGCACAATTCAAGTAGGATTCTCATCCTCTAGAATAAAATCGGGACCTTACATGTTTTTGTCCCAAACGTTTGATCATTTAAATAAAGAGTAATCTCCAATTGGTGCCGATATTAGAACCGCAACAGAACGAGACATTACCCAGAAACATGATCCCGGTCTAGGGTAGACAGGGCGGGGATCCACTCCTACTTGCGATCGTACGAGTATATACATTTTTTACCGCGTGTAAAAATAGTACTATCGTGTGATTTTTGGATAAACAATTTCAGATCACATGACTTTCAGAGTCACCGCCAAGTGGTGACTTGGACAGTAGGGCCACCGGGGCCACCATGAGTCATTGTGGCGGTAGATCGTTGAGTTGCCGGAAGTCAGTCACTACGAGACACCTCATATTAAATGAGCCATTTCTATGAATATTACTAAAAGAAATACAAACACAAAAATATGACATGGTTTAAAGTTTTCCAAAAAATGACTTACCATATCATTTATGCATTTTTTCAATATTGCACTTATTATTGTGACATTCAATTGTAATAATTAATAATCTGTCAACATTGTCTAGCCACCCCCACCAACACTGCCTGTGCCACCACCGCTGCCACTAACACCGCCATCACCGTTAGTGACACCGAGTTACTAACTTAAATCCCACAATGACTACATAATTGTTTAGCTCCACAACGACTCTAGTTACTTTACCGCTAATCACTAATGGCGCTCATCTCATAGTTGTAGTCACTGTAGCCTCTGTCACCATTAAAATCCATCACAAAACTTCATTACTCACCGTGTATATGATACCAACGGGATAATCATTGGACCGAGTTAGCCGTAACAAATCATTACCATCACAAATCATAGTCACTAAATGCCTCCACCACAGCCTATGATGTCACTAAAACTCTAGTCTCCACAATGTCAGTGAAACCCAAGGTGCCCACGTCGTCATTGAAACCCTAGCCATCCACTAACCGGCTGGTGTCACGTTCACAACCAAGTGACGTGGACCACTTGTGGTGTAAGTGTAACCTGACCACTACCCTCCCCCCTCCCCCTGCTACAACACCTACCCTGGCACTACCCTACTTACCCATCAATAATCGTCGTTGTACCCTGCCCCTCCCGAATCTATAGCCCCATTCTTGACCACTACCCAAACCTTGGCTCTGCCCCATCCCCTACCCCCCGCCGGTACACCTACCGCGACACTGCCGACTCATAGCTTCAGCGATAGACAAATCAAGTAACAACGATGGTTGAAATAGTAATGAAATTTGACCACTCGACCACCACTTCAACAATCAATTCAAAGAGGACGATTGTTATGAGTAAGATGCTCCAAATCTTCAACAGCGTGGTTTGCGAGAAAGAAAGGAGAAGAAGAAGAGGGTGTGAAGACGATAGCGATGTGACAATGTCGGTTGACGATGCAATGAAGTGGTAAGAAATACACAATCTATTGAAGCAATGAAGGGTAGGGGTTTCAATTAAGAAAAATGTTTGATGTACACCTTTTGTGTACACCTTTATATACAGAAAACTTTTTATATTTCAATATGAATTGTCTATATACAGACAAATCTGTATTTTTATACACACGAGTGTGGCAAAACTGTTATACAAAAAAATTACACACCAAACACTGCTTTCCGATTAAAAGGGATGAGTTACTTTTGTGGATAATATGTAAAGAGCAATATATACATATATATAGAGAAAAGATCGAGTGAGAAGTTCTCCTTAAAATGAGAAGTGAGAAGTAATCTTAGTCCTTGGATTTGCATCTGATCTTACAACGCAGTAAACTTATAGTAATATAGGAACTTATAACCAATAAATCATAACTTATAATGCTCTCCATCATAATTATGAAAATGCTACCGCCTCAAAAAAAATTCAAGGTTTCTGGAGTTATTTTTTGTGGTGGCATTTTCGTAATTATTTTGGGGGATTTATAAGTTATGATTTATTGGTTAAAAACTCTTATGTTTAGTCTATAAGTTAGCTTCACAGTTTTCGGCCGAATGACACACCTCACATGATCCCCTCTCTCTATATATATTGAACTCAAAAGACTATTCATGTTATGGGGGGTGCATTTTTTCATTTACAAGTCATAAGCTATGTTTTGAATTTTTTATATGTGATTCTATTTTATCTATAACTTCTCATTTAATATTTTTGATGACAATCGGTCAATATCTCTGATACAGATCATTATTTTGAGCTTCGAATAGATGATGATACTGTCAGAAGTCAAAACACTTTAAATTATTCAGGGAACATAAAATTTGAAAATCACTAATTTATGATTTATATACTCGGAATATATTAATAGTAATTACAGTAGTCTAACTTCAATGATTAGTTACTCCCCGATCCCCATGTGTTGGGAAATATTTCCAACATTTCTCTTTCAAAGACAAGTGTTTAATTATCAGTAACTCCAGATGCTGTCAAAGACTTGTGGCAGAGGCGTTGTTGATGGAGGCACCTCTTGATGTTCTAAACACCTCTCTCCCTTCCCGAGATTTGACACCACATTTGGGATTTCAGTGTTGTTATTGTCATCACTTCCCACACGTATCATTTCTTGTGACAGCACAGTACTCAACACCATCTCCTTCTCTGTCTTGAAACCTTGCTGCTGCCCATAGTTTGCAAGCCAGCTCCGCAGAACTGCAGGGTCTTGCATGGGGAGCGAGTCCCATGCCGAAAAACTAGACGGGAAAGAGTTTGGGATGGAGGAGCCCAGGAATGAAGAAGCGTTGAAACCCATCATCATGTTCTCGTCTTCTTGTTTGATCGTACTGTTGTTGGAGAAGCAGTGCACGTAGCCGCCTGATTCGGATGCGGCGGCGGCGGTTCCGGGCTTGCTATTGGACGGCGATGAATCCGTTAGTGGTGGCGGATTGCATCGTATCATCCCAGAAATATGAACCTTTTTGCCACCAGAGCTCTTCTGAAACACTCTGCAGATAACCCAATCATTCTGTTCCTGAAACAAATCACTCGATCACAATCTAATGCATTAAAAATTTAAAACAGCTGTATCCCTAATTGAAAAAGGGAAATTCTTAATGTATAGAAACCTATATACACGGTTAATTCATTTGAATTTGTTTAAAAAGAGGTGAAGTTTGATGACAAAACTCTCCTAGTTGCATGTGTACATAGACAATGTACAATTTGTGTACATATTTTGTGTACATCAAAAATTTCAAACTAATGTTAAAATCTTTCCCATTTTGAACTTTATTCATGAATTTGTATCTTTGTATAATGTATTTTAAATTTTAGCACTAAGAGTTAACATGACAAACAATTGATAGGGATGTAATGTTTACTTTTTTGTCTCGTATATAATCATATATTTATTGACATGACACATATCATGTCAATTTTAATATGTATTTCAGTGGTATTGACAGCGCCAATAACAATACGTCATAATTAGTCACACCATTCGAAACGTCAACACAATCCCCACAACAGGTTCTAACAACTTTTCTATCCCTAAATAAATCTTCATGAAAAAAATATATGTTCTGCTTTTGAATGGGGAGAAGAAATCAGTTTTGAGAACAAAAAAATCAGTCATATTTGTGTTGTCACAAATCCTAGAAATCTATTTGTTATAAATATATATTTTGTTATGTATAGATATGCATAGATATATATACCTTAGTAGCAGCAACCTTGTTGAGGTTGTGAAGAGAGAATTCCCCTTCCAATCGGTACTCATGGCTGACCCAATTGGTCTTGACACCCATGGGAGCTCTTCCCATGTAGAAAACGAGAGTTTTCTTCATTCCGACCAGACATTTTCCTCTGAAAATCTCCTTGTCTTTCCCCGTGGCTTTCCAATACCCTGCTGCCGTGGCTCTGTTTGTTCTCATCCCCGTGGGATACTTCTTGTCCCTCACACAAAAAAAGTACCACTCTTTTTCCCCTATTCTTGCTTCCCCTATCATTCACCCAACAACAACTTCAAACATGGATAAAATTTGAGTATATTTAGAGACACAAACCAGCCTTATATGTCAATCAGTAATTATAAAGATTATAAGATACAAACCAGCCTTGTTTTTGTTGTTGGTGAGGTAATATAGTTTACCCATTTTTATTAGTCTCATAAAAGAAAGTTAATATAAAACTGAAATGAAGAAAAAGTTTGTGCAACATACATGGCAAGTCCCAAGGCTCAACCTTGTTCATATCAACTTCTGCAATAGCAATGGCAGAGAAGGAGGAGTCCAAAACCTTGTATGACAAGTAATGGGTGATGAGCTCTTCATCCGTCGGATGGAATCGAAACCCCGGGGGCAAATCCATCTCCTGCGTAGGATCCTCAACTCCAAATCTCCCACACAAATTCTCCATCACAAAAAAAAACCCAATCTTTATAGTTCAAGAAAGTGACAGTGGAAATGGTGTTCTGCCTAACAGTTCCTATTTCAAAGATGCCTGAAACAGAAGCGGATTATTGACCCCGGATACTTTATAGTCAATAATTCATCAGGGACAAGAAAAGTTCATGGAATATTATAGGGAAAGTGGATGAACAGAGGAAGGGGGGAAAGCATGGAACTAACCTTTAAAGGATGAAGAAAAAGGAGAGTAGTGAGGAAGAGAAGGCCATAAATGCAGGTGTGGGAGAAGGTATAGAAACGTGGTATGTAAGCAACTAATGGGAGGAGAATGTGTTTTAGTTTTAGGCTTCTCTCTCCCTTTGTTATATTTTTATGACTAAATACACCCCCTTACCACTATCCCACACAACAAACAAGCATGCCTGGCTTTGACCGTAACTAAAAATTGGCATAATTTGGTATGAACAAAGATGCCTTATTTTTGAGTTGACCTGGCCGGGTTAGGTTCGTTTAATCACCCACCACTTTGCTACACTAATCATGCGATCGATAACAGTCCATAGAAGGATTAATGAGTACAAATGAGTTCCACTTAACTTTTTCACTCCATTTTGGGGTTTAATTTGGAACTGAAAAAAAAAATCTTACTACAAAATCTGAGAAAGTGTTGCTTTAAGAGTTCAAAAGTAATGTTTGCGGGCGTTTCTTTGTACTTGTCCTTTTTTATGTAAATATGATAAATTCAAAAGTTGGGCTATGTTTGGAAGGAAAGTTGACTTTGAAAATAGTACATGTTAAAGTTTACGATAAAATTTTGTTGTTGTTGTTATGTTATTAATTTGGTAAAACTTAATTAATTGAAAAAGGGAAAATAATCTTACCCACTACTCCCACTCCCGAAAATGTTTAAAGTTAAACATAATATTCACAAAATAAAAATAACTACGTTTAATCTTTTTATGCATAGACGCTTCTTACTAACAGATGCAGGCACTCCTAAAGTGTTTGACTTCAAGTCCTAAAGTGTTTTGTACTACTTAGAACATAAGCCTTTAGCCCAAACATTTAGACCCCGTTTGGAAGCATTGAATTAGTTGAACCGACAGAATAACCTGAATTTGTTGAATTATGAAGAAGAAAAATTAGAATATATTTTATTAATAAAATATACGAAAAATTATACTTCGTATGAAAATGGCTAAAATCATACTACTGAGCAGTTTTAGCATTTCAATCACAAAAATAATTTCAAAATTATATATTTTTTAGGAAAAATGGGCAAATAAGCCCACGCACTAACAAAAAAAAAGGTCAAATAAACCCTTATATAGGAGGCTCTCTCCGGCCGTCGCCATTAGGGGCAGTTTCCGGTTGAATTTTTTAACGAATTTTTTTGAGAATCTTATTCATAAAGTCTAGTTTACTCATAACAAATTTCAGCTAACAATTCAATCGGGAAGACATTCAAATAAATTCTTGAAGATAACTGCGCTTTTAACTGCGCAGTTATCTTCAAGAATTCATTTGAATGCCTTCCCGATTGACGTTTTAGCTGAAATTTGGTATGAGTAAACTAGATTTAATGAATAATATACGCTCAAAAAATTACATAAAAAATTTCCACCGAAAACCGTCCCAAATGACGACGGCCGGACATAACCACCTATATAAGGGCTTATTTGACCGTTTTTTGTTAGTATGTGAACTTATTTGCCCCTTTTTCCTTAATTTTATTATTACACAATTTAGCGTACAAAATTTGATGATAAAAAAAAGTTTGATGAGCAGATGGATATGCAGAAATTTGGGAGTACTATACCAAATTGGGCCTTTAACATCAACGGCAATTCTTGCCTTCTTGGTATGAGGAAGTCATTTTGGATGGGATTTTCGTTACCCTGACGCTTGGATTACATATGGGTTTTTGAATGAAAGTACAATTTGTTGGAAGCAACGCTGATAAATATTGAGCACTTTCTTCCCTTAAAAGGAGCATCTTTTAGATTTTTTTAACCACAATCAATTTGTTAAGTTCTAAAAAGAGTGCGTTATTGGAAGCTCTACCAAGAACCATTTAACCATACTACAATATATAGCAATATAATATAATTACATCTCTCGTGATTCTTTAAATTCAAAACCTATTATTGAGTAATTAATATTTCATAGGCTATTTGATTCCTTTATGGAGTATGCATGGAATGGAATAACATGGAAGAACCGCGACTCTGCCGCCTATTATACGAAAAATATAATGAGCATAAAATGAGACGTGCTATTCATTTTATGATGCCGATTACCGTTTGATTTCATCTTTTTGACATGTTTCGGTACGTTCTTTCAATATTTAATTTTCTCGAATTTCACATAGTCAATGTGCTGATTTTTAAGATGCTATGCAGTAATTTTTTAAAATTAACTTAATTTGAAGATGAGTTTGATTGTTTTTTACAGCCAGCAGTCGTTTTTCATTATAAAGTAGAATCAGAAAGATCAGAAAGTGATAGGAATGAGAGGTTTTCAAACCATATCTACGTCAATAATATAATGAAATGATCACTACGGATTCACTTAGACTAGTAGGCCTTGTTTGCATTGGACTAGAAAAAATATTGAGTAGATCGAAGTCTAGAACAAAGAATGAGAATAAATCATCCACCAGTGTTCAAAGGGAAATTGTCTTTTTTATTCAACTCTTTTAACTTGATACATTTTTTTAAGATGGAAATTATGTAACCAAATAGAAGGAAAAGCATTCATTAAGTTATTTCTTCTAAAAAAGATGACAAGACAAAAAGATGAAAGATAAAAAAAAAAAAAAAAAAAGATAAAAAGGTGAGACAACATCCTCTATTGTTTTTTATTAGCGTATTGTGATCCTGACTTCATCGGACTAATTTTGATCCGTCAAGAATGATGGTCCCAGATAGAGGTAAAAGCCTAGGGGGTGAATAGACTTTTAAAGCATTTTCAGCTTTAAGAATTTTTCCTTCTAGATGAGTTGATCTGAAATCTTTTGGGAGATTTACAGATGCACAGCGGAAGTCTTTGACCTCTTGATGATTAAGGTGTGACAACTTTCTAGCTTGAATGATGTTTGGACTTTAAACGGTGAGCAGTTTACTTGGCAGTTGCCTGGATGTTAGGGAACTGCTGAGACAACTGCCAATGTAAAATAGGAGTTTGGGAGAGATGATTATATGACCTTATGCAGAATGATGAGGGCTTTCTGGATATGTGCTGAGCTGGAAATAATAAGGTGTTTTGCTTGAGCAGAGGTCTCAGCAGTTGGGTAGTGCCAGGGAACCGCTGAGGCACCTGCTGTGTTTGTGGAGTGTGTTCTGAGAACTGGCAAAACAAACCTTCTAGTAGTGATGTTCCTAAGCTCTTGTGAAACAGATGTCTCAAGAAAAGGTAAGTTATTAAGCAGTAGGATAAGCAGTAGAATCAATTAAGACTACTGCTTAGGATTCTACTGGCAAACTACGATTTCTTTATTGAGAAGTGTTGGATGTGTGCTATGTTGACTGAAGGTAAATCAACACATAATATATCCTGGTTCAGAGGTGGTGTAATCCTCCTACATCCAATCCCATCCTATTTCAAACGAATTTCACTAATGTATTAAGCCCAATACACTTAGTGCAAATCTAGCCTTGACAACTCTGGCCTAGATTGAAGGTGTTTCACGAGGAGTACAACACCACTCCAAGCTACTCAATCCTTTAGGTTTTTCTTGATTGATCCAGTGGGGATCAAAAAGTACTCCTCACCTATCTAACCACACTCAGGCCGGGAACAACTGTCCTCCTGAAGTGTTTAACAACATCTTGTATACTACAAGAAAAATCTGGTCTCCAACTAAAAACTAAGCTCTATAAATATGAAAATGATGATCTAGTCTAAGAGCTTAGTGAAGCACGAGTCAAAGCAGAGAGTGAATTTATGATCAAACACTTTCTCTTTTGCTAGATATTCTTTGAATGCTTATAGGATTTCTCTGCTTTTGAACTCAAGAACTTGTTTTCGAACTCATGCTTCGGCCCTCATTTATAGGCATCTCTGGTAGATAAATCTCATCCGTTGGTTGAGATTAATTAATCTTGTACGTTGAATCTTTGTTTCAGAAGATAACAACTTGTTGTTCATCTTCTTCTTTGGAGCTGATTACTTCTTTTGTCTCTATCTGCCTAGCTGCTGCAGTTCTCCTTTATAGATATCAACTTGACTGCGCCTCCCATGCTTTGTACATTTTTTGCATTAAACGTCCTCCATGCTTGGATTCCTTTTCTTTGATTGGCTCCGGATGATCACGAGGTATTCTAACAATTTTTGTGTATTAATAAAATTTATACTGGTAGGATTTGAATATCCTATTAAGGTAAATAAATTCACCTTATTGCATTTTTAATTTCCAGTATAATTTTATTAGTTACAAAAATTGTCCATTTATTTGTCCTCAATCATATACATGTAAAATTCATATCAATGCATATTTTTTTTTTGTGACGTTTGAAAATGTTTGTGACAAATTAAATATATACCGGTAGGATTTAAATATCCTTTTTAAGGTAAAAATTACCTTATTTCATTTTGACTTTTCCGGTATAATTTACTTGATACAAACATTTTACTTTTGACCTTTGGTCACTCAAAGTTTTGTATGGTCAGCTAGTATTTTGAACTAAACCTATTTATTTAACTGGTAGGATAACAAATCCTATTAAGGCAAAACTTACTACCTTATTGCATTTTGTGTTCCAGTTAAATAATAGTACATTCGAAATACTTTGTTTTTATTTGATGGGATATTAACAAACAAGTTAAGCTGGTAGGATCTATAAGGAATCCTTATTATAAGGTAATGAAATATTACCTTATTGCATTTTGACTTTTCCAGTTAACTTTATTTGTTAATAGACCATTTTAGCAAGACACATTTAGATAATATTTTACTAGCATGGCAAACTGTCAGAATACATAACATCTAACGTTGTACGCTACAAAAGATGGCGGACAACAAAACTATGGCATCATCAAAACTATTAATCAAAATCTAGGGTCTAACAAAGAACTCATCACAAACTCTTGAGATTTGTAAATTCGAGTTGCTCGAACAATCGGTTAGGTTTTCACCGCTATCTACACACCAATGTGTGCACATGAAATCAGTTTCACATGATTGATTGCATGTGTCCTCAAATTCTCAGCAAAACTCCCAGATAACTATCCTTAATAGTCAAACTACCAGGTTCCTCACAAGAAACTAACTTCCACATTACCACCCGAGGTGAGACAAAACAATGATTGCGCGACCATTTGAACTAGCCCTGAGAGGCTAGAGCATCATCATTTGAAAAGCCCTATCAAACTCATCCTCCTATTGACATGCACTAGCGGATCCAATATACTTTGGGGGGGGGGGGGGGGGGATTGTGTAACACCCCGCCCCGCACGGCCCAAGGTAGTTACTCATGGATACCCTCCAGACCTCTAGTACTGTTCTCACAAACCGCCACTAGCCTTTTTCGCGCACTTTGTCCTCACTCGTGCGCGCACTGAGAAACTTCCCAAGCGATCACCCATCTCAAGACTACTCTCGTGCAAACACGCTTAACTTTGGAGTTCTTGGGTGACAAGCTCCCTTAAAAGGAGAAGCATCTTGCTGGTATGAGTAGTACTATCAATCTATTTAAATTTATCTCAAGTGTTACAATCACCCCCACTTAGGATCGCAACGTCCTCGTTGCCCCCATAAACCAATCTCAAACTTCAATCAAATCCCAGAATCCTCCCCCGCTAAGTGCCCACCCGATATCCAACGGGTCAGCACACTTGCGCAGGGTTTCTCTGATACCACCTGTAATTTAAGAGGATTAATAGTACTACTCATACCAGCAGAGGTGCATTTCCTTTTAAGGGAGCTCATCACTCAAGAACTCCAAAGTTAAGCATGCTTGCACGAGAGTAGTCTTGGGATGAGTGACCCCCTGGGAAGTTTCTCAGGGCGTGCACGAGTGAGGACAAAGTGTGCGGTAAAGGCTCGTGGTGGTTTGTGAGAACAGTACTAGAGGTCTGAAGTAACTACCTTGGACCCTGCGGGGCCGGAGTGTTACAAATGGTATCAGAGCAACCCTGCGATCGTGTGCTGATCCGTTGGATATCGGGCAAACACTTAGCAGGGGAAAGATCCTGGGGTTTGATTGAGATTGGTTTAAAGGTGCAACGAGGACGTTACGATCCTAAGTGGGGGTGATTGTAATACCTGAGATTAATTTAAGAGGATTAATAGTACTACTCATACCAACAAAGGTGCATCTCCATTTAAGGGAGCTCATCACCCAAAAACTCCAAAGTTAAGCATGCTTGCACGAGAGTAGTCTTGGGATGGGTGACCCCCTAGGAAGTTTCTCAAGGCGCGCACGAGTGAGGACAGTGTGCGGTAAAGGCTCGTGGTGGTTTGTGAGGACAATACTAGAGGTTTGAAGTAACTAGCTTGAACCATGTGGGGCCGTGGTGTTACAATTTGGGTCTATGTGTGATCATATCCTATTGTAGTCTTATTAGTTGAGGTGTTCATATTGAAGAATTCCAACATGAGTAGGGTTAAGTTAAGGGAATAAGACTCAAATAGGACTAAATCAATAACCGAGAATGGAAATAGGAGTTCGAAGTTTTTAACTTCTAAATAGGAGTTAATTTCAACGGGAAGACAAAAATACCCCTGGACAAAAGTAATCGCAAGTCCAGACAGGAGCTTAATCTTATTACAACGTCATTTGCTGATCTCGAGGTATGTCTGGCGGAAGTCCTTGAGAGTGAGATCCGAGAGTTTGGTGACGCCGTGGATGGCGGAGGGATCTATCAGCAGGTGGCGCTGAGTGCGGAGCAAGTTAGCACCAAAGACGGAGAATCTGTAGTCGTGCTCTCCCTGGATAGCGTAGATTTTGGCGAAATTGGTCTTGAAGAGCGAAATTAAATTGATGATCGGCCTTGAGCAGAGACTCACAGTTGTATTTAGAAGAAAGCTGCAGTAGCGGAACGCTTATTCGAATTGAAGGGAACTGTCAAGAATTAAAAATTAAAGTCATTGTTAGAAAATCAATGTCGTTGTTTAAAAATCAATGTCATTATATGACAATGTAATACGATGTCATTGTTTAAAAATCAATGTCATTATATGACAATGTAATACGTGATGATGTCAATGTTATAAAAATGACATTAAAATGACACAATTTCAATGACATTGTCGTGACAATGCCAATGACATTGCCGTGATAATGCCAATGTAGCCTGGACATTATCAGCCCACTCGTTCATGCACTTTAAATAAACTGCCCATGATTTTTCTCAACTGAAAATGTAAAACAAGGAGATTTTTTTCACACAGGCATTTCATCATATAGTTTTGGTGCAAAACATGGCTTGGTTTCAGGAGTGGGAATAGAAGGAATTGATGGAAAAAAGGCTAAAGTTTAGAGTCTATTACGAACCTACTATAGATTGAAGTAACAGATTCAACTTTCTCATTTTACTTATTAAATAAACTGATAAGGAGAGGTGAGAATCTGCTCGACTCAAAGGAGATGGGAAAACCAACCTCACTCAAGAAAACACATAGGGTTATATGTACGGCTCAATTTGTCTTGTGCAGGAGATTCCATTTTCACAAAGCATGTGAATGAGATTTTGAGTAAAACGAATAATAGGGAACTCTCATTCCCAGTATAAGTCCTCGAGCAACTTCACTAATAGTAATAAAGGAAAGGCCCTTTTTTTCTCCCTGAAAGTCCTTTATGGATTTCGAGTGGGGAATAGAGTTGTGGCTTATTCGGCGCTATATCACAATTCATTCATTCTCAGGCATAGCTGTTGACGAAAGGTGGCATGCGACATCGGTCAGGAGCGGGAGACATCTGTCATACCAATCCCATTCATCGTGGTCTGATCCGATGGAGGTGAGAAAGAAAATAACAGAAAACACAAGCGTACGTATCAGATTAAGAAACAGGGGCAATTTTGAAAGCTTTTTAAAATTATGTCATATTTAAGAATAAAAAAAGTCAATGTTTTATTTAATTACATACGGAAACTTAAGATCTTATTTAGCACCATTTCTCTTAAGTTAATTACTACTGATTGCGGGTTGTGTACATTATCTGATTTTAGCTCTGGTAAAAGTTTGATTTTTTGGAGAATTTTAAACATGGACATTCAACTTTTTAAAAGAAAATAGACCTACGACTAAGAACTACTACCTCTGTAACACAAAGATCTTCTCATTTTGATTTTTCACGGTCTTCTAAGTTGAACTTTGACTCTAAATATCTACATATTTATATGTATAAAATTCATAATAAATTAGTATTCAAATAATATTTTTACAATGAGGTATATGAAATAAATTTTTAATCATAACATAATGTGAGTTTTAATTGAATAATTAATGGTCAAAGTTTATAATGTTTGACTCAAAAGAGTCAAACTGGGAAGATTCTAGGGTTACGAAGGTAGTACCTAATAACAAGGTATGTGATGGATGGTCTACCCGGGGGTATATATCCGAAGGGTTATTACGGGGAATAACTTAGAGAGAAGTCAGAGCAAACAAGTAAGAGAGAGAGTGTATATTCGATATGTATTCAGCGTGGTTACAAATGGGGAAATGGGGTGCTATTTATAGTAGCAATAAATGCCGGGCAGGGACACGTGTCAAGCGCTTATTGGCCGAGGGGTCACCTCAACTGGTTGGCGCTGGCAGTCGCATGTGGCCGCATTTAATGCGGCTGTAGGATGAGACGTCTGTGCGGGGTACGGTGATCTGTACGCATGTGAGGCGGATATCTTGTCGAGTGAGATGCCTTCGGCTATAGAGCAGTAGCCGAGGGCCCTTCCACCCGATGGCACCCTGGTGCCGAGGGCTCACAGTGCCGAGGGCTACTGTTTTCGCCGTTTTCTCCCAGTTTCTTAGTTTGCTTGAGAAACCCGCTCTGTGAGAATTTGGAGCCTTCGGCCAGGGGGCCGAAGGCATCCCTGTGCGTTGTGCGGACTGCTCGGTACTCTGGGCGCTGTGATTTGGGCCTGTTGGGCCTTTGCTGGAGTAGTAGGAGTCTGTGGGCCGGGGGTTCCCGGGCCATATACTCCATCAGGAGTCCCTCACTCCTTTTGCCGAAAGGTACTTGAGGGAAAAGGAGTAATTTGTGCTTGCCCTTTGATGTTGTCCCGTTGTGATCTCTGAAGTTGGTGAGGAGTTGTTGCTTTTATGTCCCTGCCGAAGGCAGTCCCTCAGTTACCCACATGTCGGGACTTGAGGGCTTGCTTTGTTGTTTGTTGGAATTTCACAGATTTTGTAATTTAATGATTTTCCCGAAAGGGTCCTCCAGTCCCCCACTCCTTGAGGCACTTGTAAAGTGGTGAAAAGGAGTAAAGTAGTTACGTTGCCGTTGTGGGCCGAAGGCTGACGCTTTTCGTTTCATTTTGGGGGGATGCCTCGTTAAAAACCTCATTAGGAAAAACCCTTTGGGAAAAAATCCTAATGAGGGAAAAAGAGTGCACCGAATTCCCCCAATGATGAATCGAAAATGTCAAACCTTGGTGAAAAATGGAGAATGACGGGAATGCCGAAGGCTCTCTCTTCTGAGGGCTCCTGTGTTGATTAGCCGAAGGCTTGCTGTTGATGTCCTGGTGGTGCCGAAGGGGAGCCCCTCAATCCAGGGATCGAGGGCCTGCCAGGTGAGGGCAGCAGTGAAGTTGTTACCGGGGGGTCCACTGTTTGTTGATGAGTTGGTGATGAAGATACCCGAGGGCTCCCATTACCTGTGTGCCATGGGCCATCCGTCAATGAGGCACTCCCCGGGGGCTACCCGGTTTTGTAGTGCTGAGGGGGAAACCCCGAGGGGTGCCCTGATATGCAGCCCTAGGGATCTGAAGGAGTGATCCCGAAGGCGTGTGTAATGTGCTGTGTGGGGCACAACCCGGGGGCACTTCTGGGTGAGTGCACCCGGAGGCAATCCTTGATGAAGTGGAGTGAAGTAGAAAACCCGGGGGCTTCCAGAATATAGCCGTTGGAAATATAGCCGTTGGAATATGTAACGACAGGATATAGCCGTTGGGGGGGGGGGTGTGGCATACGTGGCGTGTGATGGCTGGCTGTTCGTGGGCGGCGTCACCGGTTGGGTGAAACGGCGGTGTGTAATGATGGCGGTCCGTCCGGAGGCCTGGAATCCAGGCCCAAGCCCGGATTCATCGCCTATAAATACCCCAAGGCCAGGCATTCCTCCGTGTGCGAAAAACTTGTTAGCGAAGCTCTGCCAATTTTTCTAGAGATAGAAACAGCAGCCCCCGGTTGAATCCTCTGTTCTTAAGGTCAGTTCTCCAGTTACCCTTCACCTCTTAGCTACCTGTACTGCGCCCTTAGGCTAGGAGATAGAACATTTAGAAAACACTAGTTGTACGAGCCTTCGAACTAGAGTCAGAATGTCGTCCCAGAGTGATTCTCAAGATATCTCGGGGGCGCCCTCGGTGGAGGATGAAGTCCTCTCGGATGTGGAGTCCTCAAGTGCGGAGTCCTCGGTGGGACAGGATGCCGTCATTGCCCTGGAGTTGCAGAAAGCCCTCGTAGCTGAGGCGGAGGCCGAGGGCTTTGAGCAGGAATGTGAAGACGAAGAGTTGGCCATCGCCTGGCAAGCAGCTGAAGAGGAGGCACAAAAGGAAAGCGAGAGGGTCACCGTTGCTGTGCTCCCCCCTCGGGGTGCCGGGGAGGCCAGCACCTCTCGGCCGCTGAATGCGGTCCCCCTCCGGGTGGCCCCCGGGAAGAAGAAGGCCAAGGCCGCTGTTCCCAAGAAGAAGGGCAGCGTAGCAGATCAAGGGAAGCCCCTCGATATGCCCGAGGGGTACTCCTATCTCAACACCGCCGCATTGGAGATCAAGTCGAAGGTTGATGCGGCGGACATCTATGTCACCCAGCTTCACGTGGGCCCCTCGGCCATCGTGGTGACACCGGGTCCGGATGACGTTCTCTCCCGGGCTCCCGAGGGCTGCATTGCGGTGCACGTCCTCTCAGTATCCATGGGGCTCCGCTTCCCCCTGCACCCCTTCCTCCGGGAGTATCTTCGGTTCGTTGGCCTGGTTCCCTGCCAGCTGACCCCGAACAGCCATTCTTACATCACTGGCTTCCTTGAGCTCTGTAAGTCCCGGGGGGTGACGCCTAGCCTGGATCTCTTCTTCCAGAGCTTCAACCTGTGCCGGGGGGGCACGCGAATGCCGAGGGATTCGCTAATCTGCAGCAGGTATCCGTGTTCAAACTCTTCACCGAGGCGCCCTCCTCGAACAAGGGGTGGAAGGACCGGTGGTGCTATGTGAAGCTAGCCGAGAGCCCCTTCCCGAGGGAACTGTGACACCCCCAAATTTTCCACCCAAAATAATACTTAGAAATAGAGATGAACTTTTATTTAATGATTAAAACTTCAAAAGTTGCAGCGGAAATTAATAAAACTAAGTAAAAGGGGTATGTCACCGCCACATCCAATCCGTGAATGATTGGATGCTAAGGCTATCTACCAAAACACGAGTTTAACAAAAATCAAGATGTTCGAATTATAAGAAAATATTAAAGTTTATTTCTAGTGAACTACATAATTGTCTTCTAATTCGCGCTCTCAAACATTTCAGCATCAAAATCATCATGATCACCTCCTGTTAAATACGAGCACAAGAAAAATAAAAGAAAACAACCATTAGCAATAATGCTAAGTAAGTTCCACCTAACCTTTTAAAATAATAATAAATAATATATATAAATTCGTACAACCTCATAAAATATTTTTCAACACTTTATAAACCATAAATCATAAGTAAACGATATCTATATAAAATCCCAATCACATAATTAACTCGTAAACCATAATAACTCCAAAATACATGAAACACCAAAATTCTCCTCTTTTGAATTTCTCCCAAAATCACTTTGTATCTAACTTCCTAGTAATTTAGAAGGGCGGTGCTCAACACTTTGGTTGAGCCCGGTGGTCCGTTGTTATGTACGTCCACCCCGGAACTATCGCCGGTACCACAACTGCTCCTTGGAAACGGAAACAACTACTTTAAGTGTGCACACCCCCTAAAGGTATTCCAAGCCCTCCGGGTTAGTAAGTCGATCCGGGTAGCCGGGATGTTTTCTACCAACTACCCCACCTCAAAACCTGAATGATTAGGAGCTACTACTACCACTACTACTCAAAAGCCGGGATGTTTTCTACCGACCGACAATTCACCTCAAACCAACACAAACCAAAAATTGCGTAGTAGTAGACCTAACCATCCTCCACATTTTAAGGGACGTGGAAAACCAACACCACGGATTTCTCTCGTGATGCTCACCCTTTATGAAAATATTTATTTCTCTTTGTTTTCTCAAAATCAATCGAAGTTTATACTTCAGGAATTTCCTTTTTCATTAAACTCCCACAAAGATAACAAATTATGTACTATTACAAAATCTTCCAAAATAACTCATATCAACAAACTAATATCTCAAATACAATCCTTTTATATAATGATATTCAAATTCAGCACACATAAATTCAATTCTCAAATATGCACACAAAAATATGTAAAAGAAATCACGAAGAAAAAGAACTAATATCGGTTGACGTGAAACTTACCTTAAGTCCCGATGCTCCTAATTCTCTTCTTCAATTTGGGTCTCTAAGTATTCACCTTTTTAATTAAGATAATATAATTAGTCACTTATTCTATTTCAATCATTTATCCTTTTTCCCCCCTTTTTATTTCCTTATTCAAATTTATTAATTAATTAATTATTCGAGTTAATCACTTTTTATTAATCAAATTACCTTATTAATTCAGTCATTAATTACAATATTTGAATTCTAATATTAAATAAAATATTCGAATATAATTAACTACAACATCTAAATTTTTATTCAATGATCACGATTAATATTAATATTTCCTTATTTAATTACTTAACTAGTTCTATATGGCCTAATTTAAATAAATAGACTAAGAATCGACTTTATAAATTAGTAACCGTCCATAAATATGATTTCGGTCTATATTCGACCTAGGTTGTCCAGATATTTATTTTATAATTATTTTCCATAATTATTCCTTTAATTTCATATATCTATTAATCGGTTTAATTACAATTAAATATACTAATCCTTATTTTTATTAATTATAAATGGTCCATAAGGTCCTAGTTAGTCATATATTTATCCTAGTTTATTCCAATATTTTTTTCATAATTATTTTCGTCACTTAGTTAATTATTTACTAAATGTGTATAATTTGGCCCAATTACCATTAAATCCATTAAAAATAGCTAAAAAATTTATTTTCCAATTCTGGTTGGTCCGAATATGTATATTTATACTAGGTATTTAATTTATATTTTTACAGATTTTATTTATTTCCTTTACTATTTTATTTTTAATTTTTATTGCAACTGAGCCGAACTGGGCCAAATTAAATTATTCTGGCCCAAAAAAAATTAGGCCCAAGAGGGACCCCAGCTCAGCTGGGTTGTCTTCCTCGTGACATCGCCGGAAAAACGGGAAAAACAGGGGGGGGGAAGGAACTTACTCCGTTTGGACGAGCGAACGGCCGAAAATGGTGGTAGCAGGGCGGCGAAGGTCAGAGGTGGTACGGCGGCGGCGGCAGCTCCTCCCTCTTCTCCGTTTTCCGTCGAAATGTTTTTCCCCGGCGAAACTCCGGCGAGGCTTTTCTTCCTCGTTTCACGACCGATTTCGACGATTCTTTTTCCGTTGGATTCGTATCACGAAGGGGAAGGTTTGGGAAGTATTTTCACTGCTTGGTTCTGGCTAAAACGATGGGTCGCAATTTTATAAATATATATATACGTATATATGTATGTATATTTCATAGCTTTTTGGGATGAAGAAAACGTAGGTTCTGGTCTATTATTTATAGGGAAAGATGAGGGTTTTAGGCTGAGATGTTAGAGTTGGAGTTGGAGTTAAATTTGGTTTTTTTTTTTGAAGTTGCCGGCCAAAGCTACCGGGAATAGTTTTACCTCCCGTAGGAGTTTACTTAATACTATATACGTAGTAGTAGTAATATAATAGTAGGAGTATACTATTCTAGTAGTTCATTTAGGAGTATAGTAATTATATTTAGGTATATATTAGTTATACGTAGGTTTACGTATGTAATATTATGTATGTTATATTACTATTACTACGTACGTATATCTATCTATCTATATATATATATATGTATTAAGATTATTTTATTTATTTAGTTTATCTTTTGTATATTATACAATCTAAAATAGTTATAAAAATTAATTTTATACTAAAATGTAACTTCTTTTATCGGGCCATTTTTTATTTGATTAAAAAAATCGTGAACTTGGAAATTTTATCTGATTAGAATGTTATGACTGTTGAATTTTTGTCTGACTCAATTAATAATTAAAATTTTATTTTCGTAATATTTTATCTGATTAAAAATTATTTTTATTTTTATTTAAATTTTTGAAGTGTCACAGGAACTGCGTGACCGCTTCAGGAGGCACGAGAAGAGGAGGAGCGTCGCCCTCGAGAAAGACGGCAGGATTCTGGCCATGATCCCGGAGGGCCGGGACAAGAATATCTCCATCAAGGACTGCACCAAAGAAGCAGATCTCTACACCCTCGGGTTCCGGCGGTACCGGTTCCTGGGGGAAACTGATGAGAAGTTCCCAGTGTTTGAGGGAGCCTCCGGAGGTAGTAGCTGAGGGCATTCTCACCCTCATCTTAGCACGTTTGTCCATTTGTTTTGTTAATCCTTTATGCCACTTAATAGTGACCCCTCGATCCTAACCCCTCATTTTTTTTGCAGGTGTTCCAGTAAGTATGATGAACGTCAAAGGCCTCGCCCGATTCAAGAACAAACCGGCCAAGGATCTGAAGGGGCCGGACGCAGGTGGCCAAAAGCCCGTCGGTGCGCCCCTCAAAAAGCCCGAGGGCGATGCTGCTGCGGCTAAGAGAAAGCCGTCGGCAAAGGAGCCCCCCCAAGCCCCTAAAAAGTTAAAGAAGGGGGATGCCGCGAAGGATGACCCCCCGGTGGTGATTATAGATGACCCTCTGGTGATGCCGACGGCGCAGGTGCCGGGGGTGGTCCGGGAGCCATCTCTCGAGGTCCTCACGCTCTCCCTCCCGGCTGGTACGGCCGTGTTGAATGGCACAGCCGACCCGAGGGCGATCCTGAGGGGTATTACCCTCGATATCGACAGGGCAGCTCTCGGGGCTGACGATGATCAAGCCCTTGAAGACAGGATCCTCCGGTCTTCCCTCACGGTGAGTTCACTGTAGTTTGTTTCTTTGTTTCCCACTTTGAACTAAGAAATCACGTTTGGCCCTGACAACCCGCTTATCTTTGCAGACTTGCGTTGCCCTCGGGGAGCAGTTCCGACGGCTGGAGGAATGGCGCCTCCACAAAGCTAGGCAAGACGCCAAGATGAAGGAGCTGATCCTTAGGGACTCCCAGGCCACGAAGCTGATGGCCCAGCTTGAGGAGGACCTCCGGCTTGCGAGGGCGGAGGCCGAGAGGCTCAGGGAGGAGAAGGCAGAAGCTGAGGCGGCCGCTGCGGAGGCCGTAAGGAGAGCAGCCGAGGAGGCCGAGGCCACCAAGGCGAAGGCTGTCGCCACAGCCCGGGAGGAGGCCATCTCCGGGTTCCTGGACGGGGGGTGGAAGACCGAGGGGCACAAGGCATGGTTGTCTTCGGTTGTTGAGGCCTCGGTTGATGAATGGTCCGAGGGCCCGGGGGAGGAGTGGATGGCCCGGAAGGGTAAGCAATATTATGATGGGGGTGAGTTCTTCACTCAAGCCCTCATCTACCGGAGGATGGCCCGCCATCTGAAGGTTGAGCCGAAGGGATTCCGAGCTCCGAAGGGAAGCCGAGGGCGACGATCCTGAGGCCGATGCAGAAGTTTCCTCGAAGCCATCGGGGGAGGCCGCCCCCGGGAATGACATGATTTGATACGTATTCTGTAATTTGAACAATTTTGTAATGGCCTCGGCCTAATCATTGTAATAACTATATTCACTCTTTGTTGTGATGAATGATTGAATGCCTTCGGGCTTTGTATATATGAATTGTTTTTCCAATTCCTTTCTGCTTGAATGTATGCCTTCGTTTTCCTTGAGTGTATGCCTTCGGTATTTTTGAATGTATGTCTAGGACTTAGAATATTTTTCGATTGTAGCTTGCCCTTGGAAGCCTTCGGTAGTTGGGCACCCTCTGCTGGATATGCAACCGAGGGTTCAGCAGCAATTAGGACTTAGAAAATCTTTTAAGTGTAGCACACCATAGGGCCTTCGGGTGTTTGCAGTAACCCAAATCCTAGGCCTTAGAAAATTTCTAAGTGTAGATTTCCCCTTGGGAGCCTTCGGGATATGGCATCCCTTCCTGATGTGTGAATGTTGGACCGAGGGCCCAACGCACAGGACTTAGAGATTTTTGCAAGTGTAGTATGTCATGTAGCCTTCGGCTATTGTGGAGCCCCAACGAAAATATTGAATAGGCCGAGGGCTAATTCTTTAGGACTTAGAAGATCTTCTTGAGCGTTGATTCCTTGTGTACTGTAGCCCCCTGACTGAGCCGGGGGCCCATCTTTAGGACATAGAAATTTTCTTTGTTTGCAAGTGTTGTTGTATCGCATAGCCTTCGGCTATTGTATTCCCCTGGCTGTAGTGTTGATTGAGCCGGGGGTCCAATTTTGGGACTTGGAATTTTTCAAGTGTTGTTTCTTTGTGTAGCCTTCGGGTGATAGGTGCCTTTTGACTCTACATTACTTTGCGAGATGCCCGGGGGCTGCTCCTTCAGGACTTAGAATTTGTTCTAAGCATAAATTGATGTTGAGTCCTGTTGTTGTGAAGAAAGCCAATGAGGAGTGTGTGCCCTCGGCATACACTTTAAAAGTTGTAGAATTTGACCCTTGTCATGGGGAAAGGGCCCTCGGTATTTGTACATAACAGATGCCTTCGGTGTCTGTTTGAAGTACCGTTTAGTGAACCTTGGATAGTCCAGTCCCTTTGTATTGTGGAAGCCTTCGGTGTTTTTGTGACCGGAGGTGACCAGGTAGTGGTCTTTGCCGTTTCCTGATGATATTTGTTTGAGTAGTATCCTTCGGGAAATAGGAGCCTTCAGTTACCGGAGGTGTTCCCGTGGGGAGCCCTCGGTTTGTTGTGATCTGTTGGAGTGTACTCTTTGATTTCTCGCTGAGTCTACTCCCCTTCACCCCCTCTTTTTTTTTTTTTTTTTTTTTGGTTGGTGGTGAAGGGAAGGCATCAAGAAACTTGGTTTCTTGGTAAGGCTGGGCCTATTAGGAGACCATCAGAATACACCAATGGCTCTCCTCCCTCGGGTTAACCTTCCGAGGGGATCGAGGGTCGTTTCCTGGGCACAAGATATGGTGGTCCGTAACCTGCCTCCCCTTGGGGGATGGCGCGGAAAGCGCCTCATTTTTGAAAGTCGTCCCCTCAGCGTCAGACATAGTCCGTGGCCTGCCACACCCTTGGGGTGGTGGCGCGGGGAGCGTTTCGGTTTGGAAGTCGAATCCTGGGCATTTCTCGTGCCTGTCACACCCTTGGGGTGATGACGCGGATAGCGTTCCGTTTTTGAAAGTCGAATCCTGGGCATTTCTCATGCCTGTCATACCCTGGGGGTAATGACGCGGAAAGCGTTTCAAGGAAGGGTTTTCATTTGCACACTAGTTGCAAATGGCCGGGGGCACTACGTGCCGCCGGCACCGATGGTGGCGCCTTCGGTATATGCGTCCTCGTGGGGTACGGCTTTTAGAAACAACACTTGGTGTTAGTTTCGATGTGTAGCCCCCGGTACTTGGTACCGAGGGGTCTTCTGCAGGAGCACTTGGTGTTCTCTTTTGTCATAGTTGATGTAGGCGTCTACCCTCGGTACTTGGTACCGAAGGGTGACGAGCACTTTGTCATGGTGCGTCAAAATAATTTCAATACTAAACACTTATACGTAGTATAGCGTAGTAGAGTTCGTATCCACAGGGAAAGGAATAATTCTCTTTTTATGATACTTAGTAAATAAAAAAGGGGGGATTTGGATTGAGTGATTTAATTTAATTAAGAACTAAGATGAACAACCTATATGTGTTTAATTCAAAGATAAAAAGGACTTGGCATTGCTACTTTCCACTTGTTGATATATTTTAGTCGATCATTGTTATATCTATAACTTATTCCCTCTCGAATACTCAATCGGGGAGTATATCCACTTCATCGAGGGTAGTTATTAACAACGACCGTTCATTAATAACCCTTACTATTAATCAAATATAGAACAACGCCTTATACCGATTTAATAGTAGCATTTAATCTTTCTAACTCCTTGATGAAATCAATTGAGATTGATAACCTCAACACAAGCGGTTTCGGTTTAACCAACAAAATTAATCCCTCTTAAGTTTTTTAACCACGACCGTGCATTAATAAACCGAAGTTACTTACTTGTGAAACCATCAACGATTAACCATCGGTTCGTTGATCGTTTCTAGTAATAATTAATATATGAAACAAAACTAGTTGATCCTTTAAGTAATGTTCAAAATATTAATATGAAATAAGAGTAGGAATTAATTAATATTCAAGGAAGAATATTATTAATGAAGATGAATCCTACTATAATTAATATCAAGATGTTAACTAATTGTCATCTTAGCAACACTCCTCAATATTAATATAGAGGAAGAAAATACCATTCTAACTAATGTCGAGATGTTAACTAATTGTCATCTTAGCAACACTCCCCAACACTAATATAGAGATGATATTAAGGAAAGAACTATTAATTAATATTCAAGGAAAGAAGTTAAGAAAATAACTCACAACTTTAATAATCAACAAGCTTCAAGAGCAACACCAAGAATGGAAGTTTAGCTCCTCATTTTGGAGGCTAAACATAGCTAGAAAAATATAAAGAAATGCTATTCTAAACTGAGCTAAAGAGTATGGAAGAGAGGATTATTTTTAGAGGAGAAAAAGAGTGCTATTTATAGGTGTTTTTCAACACCTTTGGCCGGGTACCCGACCGGGTCAAGTACTCACCCGACCGGGTCCGGTCAAAATCAGATAATCCGCCACGTTCTGGTGATCTTCGCACGTCGTTTTGTCCCGGGTCACATCTGACCCGACCGGGTCAAGTAGGGGACCCGACCGGGTCCAGTGACTTTCTTGGCAATTTCGTCTGTTAAATCACACCCGACCGGGTGGGGGTTTCTACCCGGTCGGGTTTCACTCCTGGGCAGTCAAATTTCTTGTTTTCTTCTCTTCAAAGTCTTCCTTTCCGACACCACAAATCCTAACTAAACTTTACAACTTACAAATAAAGACTAAAATACAATTACAACTGAAATCACATAAATGTTTACAAACTAAATAAAACGTCAAACAATTAACATAAATCAAACATAAAAACATGTAATTATGCACTACTAATTAGTGTGCATCAAAGGGTCTTCAAATGAAACACGTGGTGTTTCCCAACAGATGTTTGGAAGTTGAAAGGAGAGCATATCCCCGGCACTGGGTGCCGAGGGGTCTTCTTTGAAACATTTTGGTGTTTTTCCTTCGTTTCGATGTTTGATGATGGAGGTGTACCCTCGGCACTGGGTGCCGAAGGGTCTTCCGTAGGAACACTTGGTGTTCTCAACTTTTATTTTTTGATGTTGAAGGTGGGGATGTACCCTCGGCACTGGGTGCCGAAGGGAAATGAAACACATGGTGTTCCTTGTTGTTGGTGATAGGAGTTCCTTCCCTCGACACTTGGTACCGAGGGGTCTTGACTGAAAACACGTCGTGTTTTCACTGACGTTGTAAGTGTTGATGGCGTCCGCCCTCGGCACTTGGTGCCGGAGGGGTTTTTTCTCGTGGTGAGGCGGTGGGCCTGTAGTCAGTATGAGGGCTTGATGTCTTGAATGTATCTTCATTCTTCGAAATTGGAGGCCTTGGGCCATAGGATAGTACATTCACTAGTTATGAGGGCTTGGCCGCTCTTACATTATTGATAAAATTTAACTAAATGGTGTACATTCCAGTGCCTAGGGACCTCTTTCCCATTGGGGCGTTTGAGCTTGTAGGTCCCGGGTTTGATGAGGGCTGCTATGATGTAGGGGCCTTCGAATTTTGGTGCCATTTTCCCCCCCTCGGTTGGTTGGCTGGCTTCCCTCCTCCGGAGGACATAGTCCCCCACTTGAAATTCCCGGGTTCGAACTTTGGCGTCGATGTAGCTTTTAACTTGCCTTCAGTAGTTTTCTGCCCGGATGAAGGCCTGCTCCCGGCGTTCTGAAATGAGGTGGAGGTCGAGGGCCATGTTGCTGTCGTTGACCTCGGGGTCATATTGGATCACCCTTCGGGTGGGAAGGGTGACTTCCGTAGGGGCTTTGGCTTCAAAACCGTAGCAGAGGGAGAAGGGTGTTTCACCTGTAGCTCGCCGAGGGGTGGTGCGGTAGGCCCAAAGGATGTTGTGAAG